GCTCCAGTTGCAGTACTAGTAGTTTGTGCTGGAATTGTTGTCATTTGAACTGCAGGAGCTGCTTGCCTGGCTCTAGCTCTGGAGCGGTTTGATTTGGAATTTAATGCCACTACACATACAGCAATCACTGCAATTACAAAAATTAGGAAAATAATACCACCAAATATCCCTCCAACAATAACTCCTGCTAATGCCCCAGCATTGACACTACTAGAGCCTGCAATGAATAATAAAGTAGATGATCACAGGAGGTCAAAAAGCATTTCATAAATGAATCATAGCTATTATGTACATGCTATATGTGTATACATTATTTATTATTGTGTACCTGCACAACTGACTCCAGCATCCTCAGAGTGACGACAATTATGATTAGTTGTATGAGAACAGTTAGTAAGGTATGATTCAGACCCAGTACAGGCAACATTATCCATTACTATGCTTCCTGTTCCTTGTCCAAAATAAGCATTACTATATGCGGTCCCTATATAAATTATAATGCAAAAAAAATTATTGAATACCGTATAACGGTAAATTTCAGAGGGGGTAAATTTTGGCAAATTTGGCATTTTGATAGCCATTTGTCAAAATAAGATCTGCCATTTTGAGCCATTATACGCATGCTCAATGGCACGTGGCTACAAATTCACTAAATTAAAACTTGCCAATCACCAAAATTTAGCAATTAGCTAAATTTTAGTCCATCCAAAATTTCCTGCTATACGGTATTTATCCCAGTGGCATGCCTAATCGCATGTGGACTTGAATCAAATAGTATTATTATACACAAAGGTATACACTTTATTTGCTGTGAATTACCTATAACTCAATAGTACATTGCACATGTACCTGTAACACTATATCCTAACTGTCTACATACAACAGTAGCATCATTAGTACCCCATGCATCATCACAGACAGTACCCCATGATCCATTTCTGCATACTTCAACACGTCCTTCTAAATTGCTGGATCCTCCAACAAGACGAACTGAGCCATCAATACAAACTGCAAAAAAATGTAAGCATCAAAGCTACCAGTATAATCCTTACTGTATGAGCATCTAACTCCAGCATCTTCAGAGTGACCACAATTATGAAAAGTTCTATGAGGGCAGCTAGTAAGGTATAATTCAGATCCAGTACAATGAACATCATCCATTACTATGCTTCCTGTTCCTTGTCCAAAATATGCACCACTAAATGCAGTCGCTAAAATAGTGCTTTTTATTAAATACTATAATTATTATTATGCACACATTACAAACTGGGTTTCCCACAAAGCATGTTAAGCGAGAATATGGAGCAACTTTAAAAATACATAATGAATCCAAATTTGATTGGAATCAGCTCAAACTTTTTACATAACATGATAAGAACATATATGTGTATCGGAAAAAATTACAAAAAATTGAGAATTCTCTCTTTTTCGATTCTGGTGAATTTGGTCAGACTTTTAAAATTATTGATTTCTGATTGGACTTTCTACACAACATAATAACAAGTCTATGCCAATAGGAACTATTATTCTAACTCGACAAAATGCCAGTGGCAAATATTTTGTCAAATTTTTTGAGCAACTTAAAAAATTCCTACATGTATGTAGATTTTTAAATTTGCTCAAAAATTAGCATTATGTTGAAATTCTGTGGGAAACCCTTACTATAAAAGGACTGAAATGTTATATACATGTAATACCTGATGCTTGTCCTAATCCTAACTGTCTACATACAACAGTGGCATCCCTATAGTCCCAGTAATCATCACAGACAGTACCCCATGATCCACTACTGCATACTTCAACACGTCCTTCAAAACTGTTGGATCCTCCAACAAGACGAACTGATCTACTAAAGCAAGCTGTAAAAAATAAAAAATTCAAGTACATACACATGTACATCATAACTGAATCTATAATCCTTACTATGTGAACATCTAACTCCAGCATCCTCAGAGTGACGACAATTATGAGAAGTTGTATGAGAGCAGTTGGTAAGAAATAATTCATATCCAGTACAAGCAACATCATCCATGAATATGCTTCCTGTTCCTTGTCCAAAATAAGCATCAGTAAGTGCAGTCCCTAATATAAAAGGATTGTAACGCTTAATGCATTTGTAATATGCGAGGCTGTAATATTAATACCTGATCCATATCCTAACTGTCTACATACAACACTAGCATCCCTATAGTCCCATGAATCATCACAGACAGTACCCCATGATCCACTATGGTATACTTCAACACGTCCTTCAGAACTGTTGGATCCTCCAACAAGACGAACCGAGCCATCAAATGGTGCTGAAATAAATAAATAAAAAAAGAAATGATATAATTAACAGTGTTATCATGATTTATGCATACCAGGACAAACCACTCCAACATCTTCACTGTGACCACAATTATGTGACAGAGGAGATCCATGACTGCATTGCTGGTATAAAGATGTTTCATTACCAACACAACTAACATCATCTAATACTATACTACCAGTCCCTTGTCCAAAGTAGGCTTCACCACGATAATAAGCACCTAAAATTAGAAAATGAAATTATATCTATAGAATGTGATGCTTTAAAGGATTGATTTGATTGTCATTCATTTCATTCATGTTAGTAAACTCTCATTCAATTCTTTTAGCATCTAATCACAACAAGCTATCTGACACATATCACTAAGTGGTAAGTACTTCATCTATGTGATTCAACTACAAAGTGTATAGCTTATTTATTAAGAAATGTCTTTCCAGCTAATGAAACTGTAATGTGTATTCATTTTATATGACAAAATTTACTTATAGAATTATAAAATAGTTATGTAAAAAATGCATGCATGATAGAGGTTTTGACCTTTTTAACACATTGGCTAGTATGGTTTTACATTGAAATTTAAATTATAAAATTCCTTCCTGGCTTACCGGTAGTAGGGTATCCAAGCTGTCTGCATACAACTTGAGCATTAGCATTAGA